ATATGAACAGAAATAAAAAGTAAATAGATTGTGTGTCCATTTTATGTCTTCCTCCAGACAGTGAGTTACTTGCAAGGGGGAAAATCTTGAAAACAAGAAAACAATTTTTTAAAAAAAGGTAAAGGTACAGCAGAATCTAACAATAATTAGCAACATGAAATTATCAAGACTATAGCTGCTAACTTTCATTAAGTAGCTCTGTACGCTACCTGTCATTTCTTTTTTCTTTTCTTGCTCTAGTCGTTCTCTGCCATTGTTAGGTGATTTAGATGCTTGGGTCCACTTTATTTTCTAATTATACTAACTTTATGATGAAAAAGATAGATGAAATTTCAAGAACAGATTTCTTCTTTATTATTCTTATTACTTTATAGGCTACATTAAACCAAACTTAAGACTCATAAAAAGAACACAATAGAAATTATAATGTCATAGAAAATCATTATTATCTGTATAATATATGGTTCTACATAACATAGTGAATAGTATGCAAAGTAAATATTTATTAAAACTGACAGATATAAACATACAAAGACACATGCACACACACCCAAATGGGCATCACATATAAACACCCAGAAAGATTTAATTCTGTCATGATCTAGTTGAAAGAAATTCTTTACCTTTGAAAATAATGACTGTATCTTGAAGAAATGTTTTTAGTCAAATATTATGGAGAAAAAGAAATATTTTGAGTCATATACTAAGATCCCAGGTATCAAAGAGAAATAAAGTAGACCCAATATCTGAAGGTACAACCAATGTAAGAAGGGTCAAATAACTCTTTAAATTATCAGTAGAAAGTATAATCCTACAGCTAAGATGGAAAAAGGTATTCATAAAATAATTAAAGAAATACCATTTATGAAGCTAAAAACATTAATAGCAAACAGACTTTTGGAGAACTTGTATCCCCAGAGTATCAAGATGTATTTTTAATTTAAATGTTAAGACAATTTAGGGTTTTTCAGGTATCTATACCTATAACTTACCTATACCTGTACCTATACCTATACCTGTATCTATACCTATATCTATCTATCCATGGTTAGAAATAGCATCACAGCTAAAGGCAACTAAACCTATTAAATGAGAAAATCACCACTGATACATTAATAGTTGAAAACAGCTATATACAGCAAATACATACCATCCTTTTAAAAATTGGACTTCAAAAGACTTAAGAAGCCAAAAGAGATCACAGAATCATAGAATACAACTTTAGAAGGAACATAAAAGCCCAACTATGCTTCTGAAGTATCTGCCATGTTCAAGGAAACCCAAAACCACGAAACTAAAAAGAATCGCAATTCAAAGTAATGCCATAGCAATACTGAAGTGATCCTTTTAGAAAAATAGGATTATGGGAAAATAAAAGTAGAGAACAAAACACACACTTTCTACATAGAGCATGACGTGCTGACATAGCCCTCCACTTCGGCCACAAGTTCTTGTTGGACACATGCGCCTGCTACACATGGGGATATAGTGGTAACCGGGACAGAAATGGCTCCTTCATGCAACATATGAGGTATTCTAGAAGTTGTAAGGTCTAAGTCAACACATTTCTCCAAGTATAGTGTGAATCAAAGTCCACCAGGTGCAAGTTCAAAATTCAGATGCTCCGTCTCCAGACATTCCGACTCCATAAGTCTTAGACGGAACCTAAGAGCTGTCTTTTTTTTTTTTATTATTGTTAGTTTCAGGTGTACAGAACAATGCAATAGTTATCCTTTTCACCCTTCGCACAGAAACAACCCCCCTCCCCCATCTACTGCCCTCCCACCCCCGATATCATGTTTATCTATTACAATTCCATTGACTCCATTCCCACTCTCTACTCCACATTCCCTGACTATATGTGTATATAATTATAGTTGACATACATTATTATTCAACACCAGCTTCAGAAATACAGTGCGGTGGTCAGGCCTCTACACCAACTATGAAGTGGTCTCCCTAACAAGATATGAGTCCATCTTAAAAAATATTTACAACATTATTGATTATATTCCCCAGACTGTCTTTTCTATCCCTGAGGCCATATTGTAGTTACCAGTTCATATTGTCTCGTCCCTTCCCCTTCTCCTTCATCCCCACCCGCTCCCAACTAGCAACCCTCAGTTTTTCCTCTGTGTCTCTGAGACTATTTCTGTTTACATTTCTCATTTATTCAGTTTTTTAGAATCCACGTATAAGTGAGATCATATAGTATTTGTCTTTCTCTGACTGACTTATTTCACTTATAAAAGCTGTCTTTAATAAGCTTTCGTGGAAAGCCTGAGGTTTTAGCTCTGCTATTAATTAGCTCTGCAGCTTTGGGCTTAACTTCATCTCTAAGATGGGAATAATTCTGTTTAAAAGGTTTATTCTAAAGAATAAAAATACTGTTTTAAGTGCTTCACACAGTACCTGGCACAGTTGGACTTGAAATGGCAACTGTGAAATAACTGTGGCATTCTAGAAACAGTCCAAAAATCTGTATTCACATTTAACTTAGATGCTTACCAAATACTATAATATATAACACTGACCATCTCTCTTAACCTCTGGGAGCTTTAGCTTCTATTTATGTAATTTGTGGGTAGTAATACTTGCATTATCACAAAGAGATATTGGAAGAAAAAAATAGGTGTTTTTGGTAAGTTAAAAAAATATTCCATAAAGGCAATAATTAATAGGGACCACCAGCATTTTTAGTCATAACAAAGTACACAAAAGTTTCATTAAAAAACAAGGGACAAAGGCTTTGGAGGAGAAAAAAAAATTGAAAAGCAACCTTTTTACCTATTTTCCAACAAAATGTACCTGTTCATTCAAGACTTTGAGTACCAACTGTGTGCCACCTGAGAAATAACTCCCCAAATTTAATCAGAAATGTAGTCTTCCATAAACCCATTATTAATATCAAAAATTTTTTAAAATGCTTTGAGGGTTGTACAAACACAAGATAGAAACAGTCTCACAAGCAAACACTGGCTGGAAATATAACCAAACGAACAGAAAACCCTTGGTCACCTAGTCCAACCACCTCTTCCATATTTACATCTCTCTCTGCTAACAAGCCTGCCAAGTATTCACCTAATTCCATTGACTAGCCATCTACCAGTTGTAAAATAGTCATCTGGGGAGATTTTAGAAGCACAGATGCTGATACTCTGCTTGGGTAAGCCCAGCACAGCTCCAGAGCGAGTAGGTGCAGTGAGCCTCGACGTGTTTGACGAGCAGCCAGTCTGACCGCCAGTGACCTGCACTCACCAGTCCACTCCATACACGGCCGGTGCCACCAAACTCCCATGGCATAGGCTGAAATCCTCCCCACTTCAGTTTCCACCTTAGACCTACTTTTATTCTTCAGACCACGTATAACACAAGCCTATTCTGTCTCCCGGCTAAACATCTCCAGTTCCTTCAAGTAATCCACAAATTGTGTTTTAAGCTGGCTAACCCTGAATGTGTCCGTATCTTTTTATTTATATAGCGTGCCCAGAAGAGAAAACAATCCTTACGTGGAATACAGCAGGCCTGCTCTCCTTCATTAGACTGACAATGTATTTTCATGAACACAGCGTTAACTGTGCCTTTTATGAAACTGCAGTCACATCATAGGATGATTTATTCTTTTAAATACACTTATGTTTGAAAAATTTTTTAGATTCACACAAAAGTTGCAAATACAATTCCAGTTTTCCTAATGTTAACATGTACAGTGCCACAGCACATTTACCAAAACCAAAAAGGACCTCACTGTTTTATTTTTTAAATTACATCTTTTTACACAAATTAGTGTTCTGAGCCGCATTTCCTTCATTCTAAACACAGACGTTTGGCTTTTCTTTTGTTTCCTTTTTGTTTTACCTGGTACAAGTAAAGGCCTTCACGTTTCATCTTTTAAGATTCAGGGCAAGATTTCATCTTGTAAGACTTTGACTCAAGGACTCAAGCTTTGAGTCTCATAAAGTGAAGGTAACGTCCTATACTTAAGATTTTTGAGTATGCTTGCTGAGATAGTCTGAGTCACGGGCCAGTCAGCCAGCGCCTGCTATTGCCATTAGATCCATGCCCTACACATACTTGGTAAGCAAGACTTCTATTAATATACTCTCATCAAATGCAACAGGCCAAGGCCTCGGGAAATAAGAACCTCCCTCAGGGTGCATTAAGTAATTTCTGACACATCCCATCAATGAACCACAAATTCAACCGATTATATGCACATCCACTTACTTCGTTTTCATGCAGATATTATGCCGTCCCCGTCTCCAGGAAGTCCAGACACATTGCATCTCCGCATTTTTGTTTTTTACTAGTCTCATGTATGTTTGCATGTGTGGCTTCTTCAGCCGACATATTTAGAGCATCTACACAGTGGAAGGAACCCATTTCCCAAATGACTCTGAAATGCTTAGGAAAAAAGGGAACTCGCTAAACCTAACATCTACTGGCAACTCACTGAAGCAACTAACGACCATGTGGAAACGCCAGCACTCGTAGGAAATCCACAGAGAATTTCTGATGAGTCACAGGCTAAAATCAGAAGAAATAGCAAGGCTGTGTTGGTAGTATTATTCCCTCCAGGAAGAACAGAGGACTCAATATATCCTCCTGAAATTAGTTACTGGTCTTAATTATTATACAGCTTAGGGAACAAAATGGCACAGGATAGCAACTCAGTATTGAAATCCCAATTTAAAAGGATAATTTAGACATGTGGACCCAAAGATAGCTCTACTCAGGCATATCAATCACTGCCAAAAGATGTTTCTAAACTGTTTACTTCTCCTCAAAAGATGCAAATAATTTTCAATTCTGTTTATCTCTCAAAACCAGGCTGTGGAATTAGAGTTTTTAAATTGCAAAATAAACTTGACAATGCTTTCAGGAAGGCTGAAAACTCACAGCCATTTTTATTTTTTTTCATACCAGCGAGTCTCTTAAGATGGGAAATACACTTAAAAGAATGTTTAAGAAAGCATTGGAATGCCAAAAACAAAGGTCTTCTAATTTACCTCATAGTAACTGCGAACTGCGTTGCAAAAGGCTTCGTCGGCTACAATTTGGGTTTCCCCGTTGAGGAAGGCCTGAAACCGTTCCTTTAGTAACTGCAATTGTTGCTTGTTAAGCTGTAAGAAAAAAAGAAAAGTCACTGAAAAATTAGCCAATCCATGCAATGTAATAATTCTCAAAAGTTACAATTGCTATACACGTATATGTATTAACTTTATGGTAAAGAAAAAGAAAAGCTAAAAATTCCTACTAAGTGCACTTATGGCTCAATTATAAAACGTTTCCAATTCACTTCTCCCATATAGTCTGGAATCCTGACATTGCAATGAAATCCAAATTTCTACCCCAGATAGGATTCCTGCGATTGCTACCTTGGTCTCTTTGCAGAGATAGGAAAAAACTATACTTTCGATGAGTAATTAACTTGTGCAAAATTGCCAGCTGTCCTGAACAGAGAAGGCAGAGAGAACAAGCATTCTTGGAGGTGAGTGGACAACCATCAGCCGTTGACAAGAGCTAACAGGGAGAAAGACTGCAAAGGACAGAGGGACCCTGAGCAAGAATCCTCTGGAAAGGACATCTGTTGGATGCCACAAGTTTGGATTCCGTGAACAAATATGTCTGTTCAATGTCTGAGTTGAGATCGATAAAGGAGTGATGAGGAGGAGACAAATCCCTAAGGGAACAGAAAAGCAAAAGGTGAGCAGTGAGCGCACCTTTAAGCACGCTGCAGGAAGAGCTGTGGACCGAGGAGGGTGTGCAAGTTTACCATCCCATTTCCTCACCTGGGGTCTAACTGCCGGGATTGTTACTGAGGGTAGGTTGGCCGTGCACTATGGCTTACCCACCACGTCCTCCAGTCATCAACTACCAGCAGAGTCAGCTATTTAACTTGGAGGACCCGGTACAAAATGAGAATGAGGAGCCCCTTGTTAAAACAGTTACGAATTTCAGGACAGCAGCAACAGGTCAGAAAACCAAGCTCGGGGCCCTTCTGAGCACAGAGCCCTGTGCAGCTGTAGGGGCATCACCCTCACTGGAGGGAGGGCATACCAGGTCATGCAGAAGCATTTTGTAAAGCCTAACTGGAGAGAGATCAACATAGTCTTGCAGATAAAACAACAAATCCCGAGATGCATAAGGAACAGGGGTGGTGTAATCTTTCCATTTCATTTGATCCTCATCAAACTATTGAATTACTCAGCCCAGTTCTGGATTCTAGAGAGAGATGTGAAGCATTTGGAAATATGTGGAGGGTAAAATGATTAAAGGATTTAGAAAGACTACACAAACTGGTATGATTTGGCTTCAAAAAGAAGGCTGATGCAGAGTTTAAATCTGTTCAAAAGGCTTATTAAAATGCCACTCAGATATGCGAGACAAACACTTTCCAAGATGGGTTTTATTTAGGAGTCTGACAAACAAGACAGTTTGTAAAGACACTGTTGCTGGTGGTTAACAGGCTGATAAAGAAGTGTCCTGTTGTCCCCCAGTGTATAAAAACCTCTTGCCCTGAGCAGTGAAGAGAGAAGATCATTCCATTTCTTTACTAAGGTGATTTCCTTCATTTTAGGGAAAGCTAAACCCAGCTGCAATGCATAAACATCGCGATTATATTACATCCGCCATTTCTATAATATGAGGAGAATGAAAGCAAGGACTGTGTGTGTGTGTGTGTGTGTGTGTGTGTGTGTGTGTGTGTACACTAGCAAAGCTAATTAAGTCCATGCCTTTAGCTCTCATCATGGTTCACAAGAAGGGACCAGATGGAAATAGGACAGCAACTGCTGTGAGGAAGAAGCTGAGAGCATTTGAGTTGCCAAGCCCTGGGAACCGCCAAGAAGAACTTCAACTTGCAAACCAAGTGTCCAGGCAAAATACTGTCAAGGGACATGTATGTGAGAATAACAATAAACTGGATGGGAGGTTAACTCTCATTGGTCCCAACTCCCTCATTTGATACATACAATAGATACCATTCAAAAACTGGAACCTGTGGATTTCTTCATTCAACCTTCTTTCATCAGACATTTTGTTCTTTAAAAAATTCCCCTAAATCTTTGCAATTTCAAATTTACCAGTGTGACCTTTAGCCATTGTATCAGTGAATAACTTTTTGGTGTTTATGACATGGAAAATTCATGAATACGAATCAAGGAAAAGAGATTTGATTAAAGCATTTCCCTGGACACTCCACCAATGTTGGTATAGTTCACAAAACATGCCAGGCGCCCCCTGGATAAATATCAGGCCTCAGCTTTTAAATGAATAAAAATTACTGCAGTTCCATTTAAGACACAAAATGACAACAGATATTATAGTGATGTACACACACTCAGTAAATGGACACTCCATTAGTGTAGAGAAGAGGTCCACATTTCCACATAGAATACAGAAGAAAAAAAAAGAAATTTAAAATCTAGCAGTTAGGGATAGCTGTCAGAAAGCAGGGGCCTTAAATGCTGTTTGCATTATCAAAATAAGCTACAGTATATACCAATAGAGACCAATGGAATAGGTCGAAGAAATAGATACAAACACAACCACTGATATACTATAAAATACTTTTAAAACGCCTAAAGCCAGTTGTAAAAGAGGGTCTATTCAATCAATGGTTTTATTTATTTATTTATGTTTTAGCTGAGCCATCTTGCCACCTGTTGGCAGCTCAGTGGCAGCTCAGCTCGGGCAGTAAATCGAACCGGCAATCCTGTTGCTCAGAGCTCACACTCTTGAGCAGCTCAGCTCGGGCAGTAAATTGAACCGGCAATCCTGTTGCTCAGAGCTCACACTCTTGAGCGAACTCTTAACCAACTGAGCCACTCAGCTGGCCCTAATCAATGGTTTTAGAATAAGTGGGAAGACACGCACAAGAAAATTAAATTGGACCATAACACACACTATTACAGTCCAAATGAATTAAAAACCTTTCATGTAAAAAGATAAAACCATAAAGGTACTAAATGAAAAAAATGGGAGAATTTCTTTAAACCCTCGTTTGAGAAAGACCTTCCTAACCATGAAATCAAAATTCACATGTCATAAGTTTAATTGCATAAACATTAAAAATAAATTTAGCATAACAAAAAAATATCATAAGCCAAATCATTGGAAAAGACTAACCGGGAAAAAAATACTTAAAATTCATATTCTAAAGAGCTAATTTTCAAACACATGGATTGCAGAAATTGATTAAGAATATTGGACCGATAATCCAATAGAAAAATGAACAAAATGGATACATTCAGAGAAATGACTCTTCATCTTGAAAGCATACCTAAGTTCATTCATAATNACTATTTATTGTCTGTGTCTATGAGTTTTTGTTTCTTTGTCGCTTTCAGTTTTATACCCCACATATCAGTGAAATCATATGGCTCTAATTTTTTTTCTGTCTGACTGTCATTTTGGCAACTAAGACATGACACAGAGCGCTCCCCCCAGGAGGTGGCTGAGCGGTCCCAGACAAAGTCATATCTCTGACCTCCGGATAAATCAATCAATAGGATTAATTTAGTCAAAAATGGTTTAGAATTAAAAAGTTTTGTTTAGCATATACATGTAAAATATTTAGTTTTCATTCCATTTCATTTGCTTTTGCCTTTCACAATTTTTCTTACTAATATAGAAAGTAGTGCTAGTTATCATTACTACTACCACTAATATTATTTTCTTTGTTGTTATTAGTTTCTTATATTAGTATTAGTATCCCTGAATTGAATTTAACTGATTGTGTGAATTTTATATTTATAAATTTATCTATGATTGGTTATGTTTTATTTATTGGTTAACCAAAGTCTGGCTCTTAAAGGAATTTAATAAATTGGAAAAATGTTTGCTTCTAAATAATGCAATTTAATTAAAATATTTAAGTAAAGGGCCTTTAGAGTTTCAAGACATATATTTTTCAATTTTTTTATCTTATGATTATAATATCTATATTATGCAAATTTCTAAATTTTAACTGTTGAATTAGATGAAATTTTATATCTCAGTATTTCCTAATGCTTTTTATTTTTGAATAGTCTGTATTAACATATTCTTAAGCAAACAGGCAACCTTAATTTTTTTAGATTAAGGGTCTAAGTTCATAGTCAGTTTCTTTCAGAACTTTATATCTAAATAGATTTAATGTTTACAGATCTTTTGCCCTAATATGTGAAACGTTTTTGAAAAATATCTAGACGGTCTTCAGGTAANTTTATTTACATAGTATAATATTTAGCTGTAACTCCAGAATTTGGATTTTTAACCAATCTAAACTGGAAAGACAGATATGCATGATATACAGGATGGGACTAAAACCAAATTTTAAATCAGGCTTTTACTCATGACAAAGAAACGTGAGCAGATCCAGCTCTGGTTAGGATAATTCTGACTCATATTTTAAGATACAGGAACTTCTGAAGTCTTATGTCTTGTCTGCTTGGAAAACAACCTAAAGATGCTTACATTTAAAACAAATTTCTCATTAGAAATAATGATAAAGGCCATCATTTCCAGGGTATAGGGAATTAAAATAAGGGACCGCTGAGGCGCATCTCGCTCCCCCACTGAGGGAACACTGAGCATGGTGTGGTGAAAATTCAAAGCACGTTCGCTTTCACCCATCCATGTCCGGGACAACTAGCCCTCACAACACCCTAACCTCAACCTGCAGGAATCTTACAGAAGGTGGCTACTTTCCACCAGACCTACAAGAAAAGCCTTTAAAACAATACATATTACTGGCCGTATGCTAAGAAATTGAGGCAATTCAAATAAACATGGAAAAGCTGTGGCGACGCAAACAGAAAAAACGAACCTCCCAATACAACACAAACCACGGGGCTGGAGAGGGTCACTACACAGTTCCACTTACGGGGTGACCAGATGGCCCACATATTGCCACATAATACATAGGTCCAAATATTTTGTATACATTAAGTGTACACAAAATAAAGGTTGCTGAACAGTGGAAAGGCCATGTAATGCTGGCCATGGCATATGGGTTTTGGTCCTAAACCCGTCTATTGGTACAAGGGGTCTCTTTGGCCCTAATTGATCTGCTGTTCATCTACTGAGAGACAAAGAGCCAAACCAACTTGAAGGGAGGGTCATTATTTGCTCTTCTTTA